TATGATCATGTGCCAAGCTTGACTTGGAGATCTTCCTGTATTCTTTTTTCATCTTATTTATACCATTCTCCAGTTTAATCTCGCTTTGTACTATGTGGGGGTTTTTTTCCCTGGAATAATAACATTGTAAACTGCTTTGGGCTTTTTTATGAAAGGAGTATAAGAACACTTTTAGAAATGAGCTAACTTTTGGAAGTCTGTAGAGTCTGCATTTAAAGTTTGCATGGATCTCTAGGGGCTCAGCTTGTGAAGCTCTGATTTAGAGACATCTAACACTTGTAAGTCTTTTACCCTCTGCACAGTAGGGAGCTGATACAAGGATGAAGGTGGAATTAATTTAAATAAATCATTTTTTAAAAAATTAAATAGTTTTTATTAATCCATTGCCAAACATACATAAAAATCACCAACAATAAAGAAAAAATAATTATTATTCAACAAGTAAACAATTTAAATAGTGATTTGAATCATTCATCAAGAAGACCCAGCATAATTATTTAAATCATAATTTATTCACTAGTCAAAAAATTTCTAAACTCATCATTTCCAAGAAAAATGCATTCTTGCTATACAGTATAACATAACTTGAACATACATTCTTCAGGACTCAGTTCTTCAGTATAGATTTCATTTTTGTAAGGTACTGTACATAACCATGCAAAGTAATTATTTAAACATTTTTCAGAATAATTTTAATCAAAAAACCAGAATGTTGATCTTAATACCAAACACGTACCTGTATGTTGGTGAAATTATTAGGCACTGAATGAGCTCCAGTTCAATTAACTGTGGTGGATGTTTGGACAGTATTTTTGGCATTGATGCATCCTTCACCACCTTTTAATTGTACTAACCATCTTGTTTGCTCCAGCTAGCTTTCTTCAACAAGCAGTAAAAATAGGTTGAACATAAAAGAAGCATTTTGAAGTAACATTTCTACAGTTTCTTAAAATGAAAAACAGTTTCAGCTAATTCTGCAGAAAAAACTTTCATAATTATATTCAGTTCCTTCTAAATTTCTACACAGCAGTGACCGGGGGGAGGGGGAGTCAAGGCAGGCAAAATAGTAGCCATGATAGTGTAATCAAAGCAGCAGCCATTTTGTATATGTATAAATATCATGTGGGAGAGTTAATTTGATTCCCCATGCTTTCTTCAGAGCGGTTTCTGCAAAATGGTTAATGTGAAAGGAGGATTATCAGTGAAAAGTCATGTTCTAAGAATTTGAAATTATTTTGGCAGCTTGTTACAGCTTTACTGTGGCTATTTATTAAGATTTAGCACTCTGTGTAGTTCTTGATGTAGCAATTGTTCCTTTAGTAAGGAAGATTCTCTGTTTTTTATTTTTCCACAAACACATATGACAGAATCATTGTACATCAAGTTTCAGGGTAACAGTTTTCTCCTCTAGAAGATTATAGCTTACTTAATTTCTTTTATTACACATTTTATCCAACAATTTATCTGCAGTATCTGTTCTGCTTGATCAACTGTTGCCTGGTTGAACTTACTGCATCATGGCAACAAAGAGAGTGTTTTTAGTCACATGCAGAGTTGTATGAACAAACCAAACAATTTTTCATTGCTTGCTTCTGACCTGGTTATGCTTGTGTCTCTGTGGTGTTTTTCTTTTTTTGAGGAGGGGGGCTGGGTAGGGGAATCAATCAAACGATATACTAGGTATATACTATCTAGACATTAGATAGCTAAAACCTTTTTATCAGATACTTCTGAATACCATTACATTAATAACACTGATGTTGAAGGAGGTGCAGGTAAACAGCATCAGAATCTCATTTTGAGAAATGATGCATCCAAAAAAAAAAAAAGTCAGTGGTGATAGTATAATGCTTGTTTAGCATTACTGAACGCACGGACTGATAAAAGTGGAACAGTAAAAGGAATATCTGTTTCCCATTAAACTACCATAATGTGATAACAGTTGTATTTTTGTTCAACTACAAGAATGCTGGTAATAACTTCAAAAGCTGATCCATAAGGTTTGTCCAAAGCAAATAGTCCTTAAGAATAAAAGAGTATGATGCTATAAAAAGATTTCCTTATCTGAAGGTTGGGCTTATTCAAACCTTCTGCCTCCAGTGTCTGAAAAGTAGGAGCTGTTCTCATAATGGTTCTTCAGTTGGGCAACCTGGTCTTGAGCTTCTTCACTGAGCCATTTATGTTTTGCACACAAGTGAAATAACTTCATTAAAATACTCCCCAGTGCAGTCTCTTTTAATGCCTGCTTCATTTTAAAGGTTTTAATCAATGGCTCTGTCTTCTGTCTTATTCCCCATACTTTCAAAACTGCAGGCATGGGTTCTGTTTACGTTTTCCTTCATTCTTTATTCCTCTTGTCTAGCTATATCCAGACTCTTTGCTGTAGTTATGGAGATGTAGTTATGCTCACAATTATGAATTTATGGATTATGAACAAGTGTTAAAATCATTTTTGGATTAGGCAAAGATTTTCTTTCTTTAGAAATTTGAGTACATTTTGAGGTTTGAGGAGGAAGGCTGTCTTACAGCATTGAATATAGTGCCTGAGAAATGTTATTGCACAGCCAGAGGCTCAGATTCAGGAAAATAATTAAGCATATACATCCATCTTCAGTGGGTAGAATCTAAAAGGATAAGAGCTAGCCAAGTGGTTAAATCTCCCATGTTGAAACTGAGGACACTTAAAACTTTGCTTAGCTTTGTTGGATTATGTTCATGGAATTAAAAGAAACTTCAGCTGGGCAGCATTTATTACAGCAAAGAATCTGAGCTGACAGAAAATGATTTTTTAAAACATGCAAATATACAGCTATTCTTCAGAATGGCACTTGGCATCTGACCCTGAATGCTTCTGTTGCCAGTGAACTGGGAGAGCCATCAGGAGCTAGTACCAGTGGACTGATCTACACCAAACTGAGTATCAGGAAAAGAAAACCAAGCTTCTCGCTCTAATGTAGAAGGAATGGCATCATTCCTATAGATGTGTCTACCTAGATTTACTGCTAGTAGTTTTACAAGAAAAACTCTTAACTTTTTTTTTTAAAAAGTGTATTTTGCATTGCTCAGACCCTCTTATTCCCCATTAACATTATTCTTCAGATTCAGAATGTATCATCCCTTATCTGACATATGTTTATTTTCCTACTAAACTGGATTGACAGTCCTGGGACCAAGGGCTAGATTCCAGAGCTTCATTTTGGAAGAAATAGAATTACACATTCTTCTTTCTGACAGATTTTTTTAAGGGATTAGTACCCTCTTCCTAAACAGCCTTTTATTTTTAAAAATCTGCATTCCATAAAAACATTGTTTTGCTCAAAATGATGGGGTTGTACTCTATTAATGGATATAGTCTAGAATAGGTATAAGCTGTATGATGAATCTCTGGGTACAGGGTTGTCGTTTTTAAGGCTTAGGAAATGTCTATTAATACATTTAATGTTGGTTGATGATGTTGAAACTGTTACATTGATAACTGAAGAACCTCAATAATTTAAGAGAATTAATATGACAGCCCTATTCTGTAATAAAGTGTTTCTATAATTATGAATGGGGTTGTTTCTTTAATTATGGATTTCTGTAATTACTACTTTAAAACAATATGCTTTATAGTAAGTATCAGAAGCCTATGCCTTGTCAGATTTTTTGCTGAACTCTCAGTTGCCCCAGTTATGGCTAGTAATGAGGAGCACTGGGAGTTGTATCTCAACAACATCTGTAGTTCAACAGCAGCTGCAGTCTTCCCACATTAGCTTTATATATTTGTTTTCTCTCGGAACCTTGTAGGATAAGTTGCTGTTAGCCGTATGATATAAATAGTAATGCAAGGCTGATTGAGTGTTGGGGGAGCTACTCTCCAAGTTTAAAGTTAAAGGTCTGTTGCTTTACCTAAGGTCTGAGTAGTTGTTCTAAATATAGCCTTTTCTATTCTGTATTTTTAAATCATGCATGTGGGCTGTGTTAAGAGAACAATTAAGGCTAAGAAACACACAATTGTGTATCTAATTGTGCTAAGAGAACAATTAAGGCTAAGATACACATAACAGGACAGGAAGGCCTGCCGCGATATGGTTTATGGGGTCACGAAGAGTCAGACACGACTTAACGACTGAACAACACAACCAAGTTTAGGAGGGTAAATGGCAAACATAAGAAAGATTAGGTCTCTGCATATGAATAGCCTGTTTGCTCTTAATGTTCTATAGACAAATATACTCTTTTTAAAAAAGGGTCAGGCCTTGTTTAAACAAATATCTGCTGTTTCATGTAGTTTTGTCTTACCTCCATGGTTGAATGGCAGTTTTACACACCACAGTTACCCTGGTACAAATGGAATGATCGTAGAACACAAAAGCTTTTGTATGAAGATTTTGTCCTCATGCATTTCTCATCCATCTTTCTTCCAGACCATATACACCAATGAGGGGGTCTTTGTCCACTGTATGGTTTGACAGATACAAGATCTCTAACGATTGCCCAGAACATACTGAAACCATTGATGTGATGTGTCAAGCACTTAAAGGTTTGATTGATGATGAAGTTAAAAATGGCATCAGGAAAAACAGGATACTCTTGGGTAAGATTTATAAGGAGAAATGCATAACATTTGTAAGAGAACTCATCCTGCAAGCCAAGGCAAGCCTAAACATGTGGTGAATGGCTATGAAAATTTCAACAACCAAAGAGCTTGTAAGCCTTTAGCTAGAATTTTCACTAATGGGTTTTAGGTATTAACCTCAATCATTATTATTAGAAACAATCTTGATTCTAACTAGGGTTGGTGGCCTTGGATTTCTATTGCAGAGGAAATATTATTGACTTAATTTGGAGAGAAACAATGGCATAGAAGCCAGTTGCACTAACACAGTAATGATTAGGACAATATATTCCAGGAAGTTGTTGTTGTTCTTTTGGAAACTATGTTACACTGCACAAAGCTCCATTGGAAATAGAGATTGCCTAAGAATGCAGCTGATTTATTAAGATACCTTAAGTGTTTTCTGAGCCCTTAAGAAAACAGCATCTTATCTGCCTGAAGGCTTATAGTCTAGTAGACATGATACAAGATGAAAAATGGAAGGGAGAGAGCCAAAACATGCAGATTTTCTTAGTCCTATTAATGCTACTTTTCCAACTCTGGTGTTCTCCAGACTTGTTAGATTACAAATCTCAACATTACTAGATAGCACATCATGCTATGGATGATGTATCCTGCAGTCCGACACAATCGGAGGATACTGAGTTAGAAAATTCCTGCTTAATCATTAGCCAGGTGGAATAGTAACTAAGACAGATGGTTCTTGGAAAGGAGCAGCTACATTTTGGTCTGTCCTAGGCAATGTGCTGGAGAGGTTCTATTGTTAATTGTTGCTGGGCTTCAGAAAGGTAGCAAAACTGTCTTCTTCCATACTTTTGACAGTGTTGTTTAGGAAAATGTTCTTGTTTAGCTTTTCAGTTATTTTTATGCCTGTTTAAAGGTTGCATTGATAAGACTGCTTTACTTTTTCCAAAATTTAAACTGGGTGCAAGGAAAACATATGCACCACTGGTGAAATTGGAAACAAAAAAAAAGCACCTGATTTTCACATCTGCTAATTTCCAGTTTCTTTGGAGTTCTTTCAATGACAGGTGAGTTTATTGCACCTCAGTTGCTTTTCTAAATAGTAAATGAATTAGTACTTTTGAAAAACCAATCTGCATAGTTCTTTAGCTTTATTTCAATTACATTGGTCACCAGGAGGCACCACATAAAAAGTTTCACCCTTTTTGGGACTCTTTAGATACAGGTAACCAGATATTACAGGTAGTCCTCATCTACCAACAGTAATTGGAACCAGGAACTACATTGCTAAGCGACTGCATCATAAGGCACGACATCTTGTCACCGCACCAACTTACAACGGCAGTTCCAGCAGTCCCAATTGCCATTGTTAGGTGAATCCCGCACAGTCACAGCATCTTGTGACCACATGATTGCCATTTGCAACTTCCTGCCAGCTTCCCCATTGATTTTGTTTGTCAAAGCAAAGCGGATACTACAATGTCGTAATTGCGAGCCAGTTGCCAAGCACCCAAATTACAATCATGTGACCACAGAGATGCTGCAACAGCTGCAACTATGAGGACCCATCATAAGTCCACCTCATTCAGCACTGTCGTAACTTCGAACAGTCGCTGAACAAGTGGATTTTAAGCGAGGGCTGCCTGTATGGGGTTCAAACCATTTAATGGGAATTGAATTCACAGACCTTTGCATTTTAGATTACTATATTCATTGCAGTAGCTTTAACAGCTGTCCAGGTCCTGGCGCTCAGCAGGAAGGGATATCTAGTAACACCTATATCTTTCTTCTCTGAGATCTTAACGGAATGTGGACTGTATATACCATTCTGATTGTGCTTCTAGTTTTATTTTAGTAACTAATTCAGTGACATTACTATAGGCACACAAAATATGACTCTGAATCTAAGCTGACCCCACTTCAAAGGAAGAATGAGGGCAGTTGGGGGCATGGATGGATATATACACACACACATGTACATGCATGCATACATACATACACACACACACACACACAGATCCCATGCAATGCCTGGCTTTGCCTCCTTCTCAACCTAGAGATACCAATTCTAGTTGAAACCGATCTAGAAGCTTCCTCACCCAACTTATCTATATTGGCCTTTGCTGCACCCTTACATATACTGTATATATGTATATATATACCTTGCAAAGGGATCAGGACAAAAAGTAAGTTTATATTAACTGAATTAATAGTTAATTAAATTAGGCGCCTGTAAAATAAGGCAACCAATTAACAACATTAGTATTCATCTGCATATATCAAACATCACTCAGAACAGCCTCTCAGACCAGGTTGCCTACTTCAGTCTTAAACTGTCTCAGCATTATACCCTTCAATTGATAGAGGTATGTGCACTAACAAGCAGTCACAGTGACAAAGAAGTCAGAGAACTCTATGAACTGATTATGTATCAGTTGAGCCAGAAGAGTTACCACTTCAGAATTAATATGGGTGATATGAATGCAAGGATAAGAAAAAAGCAACTATATGACACAATCATCGGAAATTTTGGATTTGGCAACAGAGACAAACGTGGATCAAGACTAATTGATTTCACAGAAAGAGAATATCTTTTCATCATAAATTTATATTTCAAGAAAAGTACTGCCCAAAAATGGATTTGGAAATGTCCAAATGACAATACCAGTAAAATACATTACATTCTGTCCAGTATTGATTCACTTTTATGGACTGCTGAATTCTCAACTGTTTAATATTGGCAGTGATCATTGACTTAATACACGCAACATTAAAAATCAACCTCAAACAGGAAGGGAGAAGATTGCTGTGAAATGCAACCATTTGCCTTGACTATCAAATACCCCAAAATCAGCAGGACACATTCCAGTTGAAATTATCAAATTGTTTCAGTGTGCCCAATGGCAGCTCCAGGGAATGCTGGAGGAATTGGATTATCTGGACACCTTTCAGTTGGGATTCAGGCCTGGGCATGGGACAGAGACAGCATTGATCACGCTTGTAGATGATCTCTGGCAGGAGCAGGATGGGGGTGATGTGTCCATCCTTGCTGTCTTTGACCTCTCAGTGGGCCTTGATACCATTGATCATGGTATGCTTCTGGACTAGCTTCAGGGGTTGGGAACAGACAGTACTGTATTGTGCTGGTTCCCTTCCTTAGGGACTGGTTCCATTCAGCGTTGATGGTGTGGAGAAGTCTAGCCCACGGCCCCTGCTTTGCTCTGTATTCTCTCCACACATGTTTAACATCTACATGAAGCCACTGAGTGAAGCCTGTTGGCCTTTCATAAGGTCTTGAAGATGTGGCTGTGTCGCCAAGCATGGGAGTTGGAATGTATGGCAGATCCCATGAAATGGTTATGTTGATGCTGATTTGATGTTTGTTGGTTTTATCTCAGCTGCCAATTATGTATTTATTTTATGTTGTTTATGGTATTTTGGGCAGCCATGTAAATTTAAATAAATAAATAGACAATTCAGATTCAATTTTAGGAGGAATTTCCTCATAGTAAGATCTGTTAAGCTACAAAATAGTTTGCCTGGAATAATGATGGATTCCCCCCATTGATGATTTTCAAATAGGAGCTGGGATAGGATGATCACCTGTCAGTGATGGGGGGAGGGGTTTAATAATTTTTATTGAAAGTTTTAATAACAGTAAAAGAAAATACAAACTAAACTCAAAAAGAAGGGAAAGTAAAGGAAAAAAAGAATAAAGGGTATACAGAAAAAAGAGAAAAGAAAAAAAATATAAAGAATAAAGTTTCCAATCTTCATCACAATAAGTATAAACAAACTTAATAGTTCATCACCCCTGTAACATTTCATGCAAGTATCTCTTCTTCCCATAGCCCATCCCTTATCCATATGCAAATCCATAAATTATTAACATTTCAGTCCTAGTGTCAGCAAAAATCCATAAAGGGATTCCAGATTTATACAAACATGTCCTATTTTAACCTTGATCAAACAAATCAACTTTTTGCTCCTTCCTTTAGCTTTTAACAATCTTAATCTGTAGTTCATTCAGATGCTGTCGTAAGATTTGATCTTCCTTCCATTTTTCTTTTTTCCATCTTGAAGGTTACTTCAAGATTCTGACTTTGTTGCAGTAAAAAGTCCTTATCCAGGTCAATTTCTTGGCTTGTCATTTGTACTTCCACCTCAGTTGTTTTCTCTGTCTTATAGTCTGTATTTTTTTTATTTTCCAGTACTTCTCCAAGTTCTGATATTTCTTCATCAGGCAAAATTTATTTCATCTTTTTTTAACTCTTCCAAAATGTTCTCTTTTGCATCAGTAATTTTTTCTTTAATATCTTGAGGGCATAATCTATTCATAGAAGCATGCATCATTGCTGAGATTGAAGCTACTATTTTTTGACCCCATTCTTCAAAAGTCTCTGAAGTATTTTAAATATCAGAGCATTCTCTGTCATTTTGCAAGTTCCAATGCTGACCGAAGACAAAAAACAGACTCACTTTTTTTCCCTTTCTGCCTGGAATTCTTAGTCCCTTCTAGTTCAGTTTCTAAAATCATAAAGTCTCAAGTTGTTGTTTTGACTTAAGATAAACTAAACAAGTTGGTTCCCACAAATGTACTGTTCATTTATATAATTATTTCCAAAATCTTGTAGCAAAAGTCCTAATATTCCATTATTCCAAATTTGGTTCCTTAATTCATTTATAACTTTCTTAAATCTGATTCTTATTAAGCTTTTGCCATTTATTTCTAATGTTTTTAAAGTTCTTAAGCTTATAGTTAATTTTTCTTTCATTCAAGAACGAAGGTAAACTCACCAGGTGGCTTTTCAAACTTGTCATATTGAAGATCTCTAATGTCCTTAAAGTTGTTGAATGGGTAATTTCAGAAAGTGATTAGAAAGAGAGTGAGCTAGCTCAGTGTCCTTTAAAAGGCTTTGCCACAGTTGAGAGCATGATGGTTCCCTTCATCTCCCAGTGCTCAGACCCACAGGAAACTGCTGTCCTGCAGTCTCCTCATGAGGAGCAGCTGCCCGGAGCATAAGCAGGCAATCCTGCATCCTCTCTTTATCTGGAGAGGTTCTGTGGGACCGGTCTTCTTGCTGGTCTTTTGGTCTTAGCTGTGGTTGTTGGCTCTACTCCTTCAGAGACGTCTTAGCTTGCCATTCCTCACCCAGAAGCTTCACCTGTCAAAGATGATTTAATGGATTCCTGCACTAGGAACTAGATAGTCTGTAGATTCCTTCCAATTCATGTGTTTTGTGATAGGTTCTAGTCCCACCCAAAGTCATTAGTGGAATCCTTGGCACATGTGCAAATTATTTCCCAGTTGGTATTGCTTCAGTTATGTCAATTGGCACAGGCACTCATGGATTCAGTACAGATAGTCCTCACTTAACGATGGTAATTGGGACCAGCAACTCTGTCATTAAGCAACGTGGTTATAAAGTGCGACATCACATGACCATGCCGACTTTGCAGACAGACACATTTGGACAATACTGAGTAAGAAACTAACATTTGATCCACACTCTTATGAGAAACTGAAAGATTTGGAATAATCCTTAAACATTTTTTAATGTACGGACTGAAAATGGAATAGTTATCCTTAATCAGCTTACTATTAATGAGATTTTAAAAACCTTTAAAAGGTTACAATATGAATAAAATTGGCAAAAACACGTGAATGGCGATACATTCAATTAAAGCATTTATGGTCCTCTTTGTTTGGACCAGCTACACTAGCTGTCTTAGAAAACCATGTAGTTTTGAATATATTAGTTTTATAAAAGCTAAATCAACAATTCAGTTTTATCCATACTTTTAAAAGATACTAAAGTAAATATGGCAAGGATGCAAGAAATTTGGAATAGAGATTTGGAGTTTACTATACCATAAAATCAGTTATCTCAGGTCTTAAGAAATGTGAGATACATTTCTTATTATCTTAAAGCAAAGTTAATTCATGAAAAGAATTCTTTCAGGATCCATTGGACTTCTCAACAGATATTACAACAGGTGGGTCAGCAACCTTATAATGGAAATACAATAAATTTGGAGGTATGTTAGTACATATGTTTTGGTCATGCCTCTTGGTAGCTTCCTATTGGTTAAATATTCTTACTATGGTGAATTAACTTCTTAGAAGGGGACTAAGATTTAAATATGTCAGTGTGTTGTTAATTATATTCTAGAAATTTGGGATTTGTGTATTTATGAATTTTTGATCTATAGTGCTTGGACTGTTGCCAAATGATCATCATGTGTTCTCCGTTTTAAAACTGAGTTCCACTATTTTTTATATAATATAATATAAATATTTGTACTGTTAGATTTAGTCTTTTTTGTTAGTTTGTGTTACATGTTTTATATATTGTTTTGTTTTAGTTGCATTTCAATATTTTGTTTTTCCTTTTTGTCGTTGTATCAAACTCATATACACACTGCATTTGTACAGACATTTACAGTTCTTAATTCCTGGATAATTTCAGTAGGATTTTAGAAGCCTAACTGTGCAGGTGAATTTAAGATTTCTCATTTCATGTTCTTGCCCTTGGTTATCACTAGAATCCAGAAGAGACGTAGAAACATTGAATTTCTCAGTTGATGTGCTCTTACAGTGATGTCATTGGTCAAACTCTTGCCTGTTGTGTATTTTGTTACTCTGGTAAAATGCTTCACCCAGCTTTACTATTGTAACATTCATTTTATTTTTAGATTTCATTTTAGATATTGAAAGTTCGCTAAAATTTCCCTCAACTGCAATGTGTTTTCTGTATTACAATTAAGAAAAGAATATGCAGGGCTAGTGCTTCCCATTGTTTCTCAGGTCTTCAGGATGTTCATTAGAAACCGTAGAATTATGATTCATAGTTTTCCTCTCCAAAGCTGAATGTTTTCCCCTGAATTCAGGAGCCACATGAAAGCTCCATATGTTCACCCCACAGAAGGTGACTGTCTTCCCAGGCACTGCTAGTGAATTTATGCAGGTTGTTTTGCCAACTAAGAAGTAGCATATGCTAAGAGAGGAGAGGGAGAGGAAGGGAGGAGAGGATTAAATCATTTACAAGTAAGCAAAGACTTTTCAATGTGCCCTCTTACCTCCTTCTCAAAAACTTCAAAAATATATTTAATTTTGTATACACAAAAAATTCCTCAGTAGATCATCTTCTGGGTAAAGAACCTATGTAGGATTGCAGAGTTAGAACTCCATAAATCATAAAAGGAGTCACAGCAGAAATGGCATCAAGGGAACAGAAGGGAAAAAAGAAATCTAAGAACCAGATAGAAGTGTATTCTTACCAAAAACTAACAAGTATCTTAAAATTCAAACTGACTCCCCTTTTTTTCAATGTGCTATTTTGAAAAATAAATTTTTATGTATCCATGGGTATGTGTGAATTATTAACCTGTTAGAAGATAAATGTCTACAGTGGAGAAATCCCTTTATCCATGGACTATATCAATGGAAGATTCTTACTTTCCTGACTCCCCTTAATGTTAAGATCCTCCATGAATAGAGGAGGCTCTTGTTGCAGACGGGGATGGCAACAAGAAGAGGGTAGGACCTCATTTCCCTCGATGCAAGCAGCAGCAGCTTCGATTGCCTCCTATTTGCTTTTCAGCCATTCACTTGCATTATTTGCATCTCCTAACCATTGCTTATTTTTCTGTGACCTCATGGTTAGAGAATCTAAGATTCTCTTTATCACTAGTAATTATTTTAAGGGAGGAAAAAAAACTTCTTGGTTAAAAATATACAATATATGCAATACATTTGTTTGGAAACAAAAAAAAACCACTTCTGAAATGTTCTAAATATTTGAATTTAATCCCTTTTGCTTCTCTTTAAAATATATCCACAGGTGGTTTCTCAATGGGTGGAAGCATGGCATTGCATTTGGCTTATAGATACCACCAAGAGGTGGCCGGAGTATTTGCTCTTTCAAGTTTCCTCAATAAGAATTCAGCTGTTTACCAGGTAGATGCTCATTAACTTAAAAAAATCCCTAGTTCTGTACCTGTAACTTGTGTTCATAAAATTATTCCCAGAACTGGCAAATCAACAGACTGTAAAATTCATTATGAAGTAACTATGTTCATTTCATCTACTGTGATTTGTTTTTGTTCGTTGGATGTCTTCTTTTATCAGAATGGCATGATACTAATCAAATAAACAATTGGGGGAATATATGGAGATTTATCTGTAAGACCTGAACTTAGCACAAGAAGCCCACCACACTTTTCATTCTGTGAACCTTATGGATTGTCCAAATATGGATTGTCCAGTGCTATATTTTTCTGTGGAATCCAAATGACTTAAAGAAAAAAAAAATTAGAATCTTATAAGCTTGTAAAAGTCTGCCTTGGTTACATGACTTCTTTGCTTCCTTCTCTGTCCCATAATCCTTGACCAAATAGATTAAAAATAGGAACAGAGGCTTTCATAGTATTAAATCAGCCACAATTAAATGATGGTCATAATCCTGTGCCAGAAGGGTTCTTTCCATTAATGAAGTTACATATTCTAGCTTTTTCCACAGTATGTTTTTCTTCAGCAGAGATTTGGTGAGAAGATAAGCTCAGAGGCAAAGTGCATGCAGTTGAAGCCTTGTCTTTATTTCTGGACATTTCCATTTGAGGCTTCTCAAGGAACAGAGCCTAGTAAATTACTTTGCCTAGTTCTTTGAAAACTCATTAGCACTACTGACTCAAACACGCATAGCTTCATACAATGCATGAGAGAATAGAGACTTGCTAGCTGGGTGTATCTCTCTGTCACATACTTGTCCTGTCCCCTTGTCCCTGTGTGTTGGAAAACAGGTTTGTTGTAAGAAGCCTGCTGCAATTTTGTAGAGTCCTTGCCTGATTCAGAACTTTGATCATGCAAGGTGAACATTGCATAGAGAACTTGTATATATATAGGAGGCCCTCCAATGCAGACCTTTGTCCCACGTGGAAAATATTAGGGATGGAAGTGGCAGGGCCAGGTAGCACATTTCTGTTCATACAATTTTCATTGCATGAAACTTAGTATACTGTCTCATTGCCCAACTGTCTCCTTTCTAAATGGGGAAGATAATGAATTCAGACATCAGTCTGGACATTTTCTTTTTGTTAACAATGTACTTGATTTAAGATTGTTAACGTAGCGGATGTCTCTTCTGCCACTAGGCACTAGAGAAGAACGGAAGAGAACTCCCAGAGTTGTTTCAGTGTCATGGAACTGCTGATGAACTGGTTCTGCATTCTTGGGGAGAAGAAACCAACAAGATGTTAAAAGCTCTTGGAGTAACAAGTACATTTCTAAGTCTGCCAAACCTTTATCACGAACTGAGCAAAAGTGAGCTAGAAAAACTGCAATCTTGGATTTTGAAAAAATTGCCTGAAGAGCCTTGATCAAAGAACAATAATGGAAAATGCCATAATGTAGCAAAATAGTATTTTTGCTTAGTACTATATGGAAAGGGAAATGTTTGGGAATACAATGTTTTCTCCAAAATATATAAAATACGGTATTGATAATTTTATACAGTGTATTTCATCTCTTTATTTATTTCTATATCTCAAGTGATATCAGATAGTCCTCCTCATGTTGAGAAAGTTGTATGTGCCAGGACATGCCTATACATTTCAGTCACTTGAGATGAACTTATTATTTTATTTCAATGAGATTGATTTTGTGTCTACATTGCATGTTAAATGTCAGCAAGTTAAATATTTCCCAGCAGGTCCATGTATCATTGTGATGTACTTGGGACAATTCATCAAAAATCACTCGTCATCAGTAGTTTTTTATTAGTTATGTTTATTCAGGCATGAGTGTCTTTGCAATGTACAGTACTCTTTAGTATGCATACTTGAGATTCCAGCATTTTTTGTTTCTGTACCATTCTTCCTCCTGGATGAGCCCAGTTTACAAAAGGCGTCTGTGGTGATGGGGAGGGTGGTATGTCTTAAAACTATCACAATACCAACAAGAATGCTTAAAAACCGAGAAGCAAAAAAATAAAAGGCAGAGTTAAAGGCAGTCTGATCTTGGAATAGTTAAAGCTAGAGTCAAGTCCACATGGAATGTTTTTGTATAGCATTCTTTTTTTCTTTCACGCTGCAATGTTGCAAGGTCATTTTGAAATGGAGTTATATGGGGGGAGAGCTGCTTTTTCAGAAATTCAAACTCAGTGGCTAATTTTAGTGGGGCACAAAGCATTTTGAATTTGAAATGTTTCGAGTTGGAAACAGGTTGTTCCATCCCTAGTGTCTCCATGCTGAAAATGTTCCAAGCTAAAAACATTTTGAATCTGAAATGTTTTACGCACCTCTGTTCACTCTACATATTGGGATGACTTTAAATTGTGTGTGAGAGAGAAACTGTTCTGATTTTTAGCACACTTAATTTGAAAGCCCATTGGACGAGCAGGAGGGGAAGGTTCCTAAAAATATGAGAAGCGCCAAGCCAAAGAGTCATCTGGTCTAGTATTCTGTTCTCATAGGGTCAGGGAGAAATTCAAAAGCAGAACAGCAAAGCTGTATGGTTTCCCAGCCCCTGGTATTAAGAGAGAGACTAGCTCTGAGGGTTCAGGTAATATAGCTATCATGACTATAAGCCAGTAGCCTTACCTTCTGTACATTTGTCTAATCTCACTTTAAAGATGGGAAAACCATGTGGCGGTTCTGAATGAAACAAATGCTTGGGCTTCAGACCCATTTCATGGTACCTTCTGAAGCTGTCACTTGACATTGGCAAAATACTTAATTCATCAGGCAAATTAGGCTTTAACTTTCCTGGGGTAAAGGTTCCCCTCCACACCTGAAAATCATATATGTGAGGGAGGTTGGAGTGAAAGAGAGTAACTAGCCCAAAGTCACTCTGGTGAGCTTCCCCAGTCCTTGTCCAATAACTTAACCATTGTACTGTCACTGACTCTTGTTTGTGGTAGAAGCAGTAAGGCTATCAGAACAGGACTGACCACTAGAAGGCATTGAAGGGACAGGCATTGCATCTGCCAATTAGTGAGGAAAAGCATTGCCAGAGGAAATGGATAGGGGCAAATGTATGATTTGATGAACAGAGAGGTCATATACAATTGGCAGGTGACAGGGAATGAATATAGGTGAAAGTACAGCTGGAGGATTCTGTAAGTTGAGCCAGGGCTGCCCATCCTTGTGCATTAACAGTAAATACATTTTTCAGATATCAGTCCTTCTTTAACCAGGATAGCTGTATCCATGAACAAGAGGGTGGTATCAATGGGTTTCAGAAATACCATGGTTCTCAGAACTACAAAAAATCTCTTTAAAAAAGGAAATAGCTCACTGAGGTTAAACAAGCTCATTTGGATGCTTGGGGGTGGAGGAAGGGAAATAGAACAGAATTAAAAACCTAGAAAGATGGCATGGCTAGCTGGTGGGGACACTCAGGCTACAACATTTTATTGCAGGGAGTCAGTTGTACCTACAACTTAGTCATATGTGGCTTGGAATCCTCTAATTGTTGGATTTATTGAAAATATTTCAAAGCATGATGATGAGATGGGAAACTTAATCACTGCCATGTGTAGATTTCTGTCAGAAATGTGCATTATATAATTTAGTGTGACTGACTTTAGTGTGACTTACTTTCAGGAGTTAGTTCAGCACTGATGATACAATGATATTGGAATGATTCTAAAGGTTGAAACACATTCATGCTGACATTAAAAAGAAAGAAAATAGGCAAACCTTTTGTAAATGTATCATGAAATCATCTTTGGCTCCTTCTCAGGTCATTTAAAAAAAAAAAAAGATGATGCTTCTGTAAGCAAAATATGTAAGCTGCTTATAGGGCTGGCAGTGGTGGTCTTTAAATGGCAAACTTCTCCTCCCTACAAAAACAAATGTTCTGAAAGTGCATTTGATTAATGCCAGACTGCTGACACCTCTAATATTCTTCATGTGGTAGAGAAGAATTTGTGATCCTGCTGTCAGGACTGCAGAGCTGAATTTGTTAGGATCATGTAGGTAAATATGTAAATGGTTCCTTCCTTCCTTTTTGGGTTAGAAATTGGTTGATTTTCAGGTTGGTTGTTCAAATAATGAAGCAGTAAGACTCACAGCCAATATGTTATAAGAGGCTATTGGATACAGAGACTTGACACACAGGAGGATAGAAAATTCTGCAGATCCAAAAACTAAATATTCCATTTTGAGCCACTTCCTTCAGGTGTAATGTTGCTTTCTGGCTACATATCTGTTTTGAGAATCAAGATGATCTTAGAAGCTTTCACATTTCTTTTAAGGTTTTGCAACCTTGTATGTTCTCAATGCTTTTTTCCCATTTTGCATCTGCCTACAGAATATTTGGTTCACGAATCTATATTATGTGCCTTGTGACTATCTTCATCTTAGTTGATGAATTCTTCAGTTTCTATTGTACTTCCTTCCAGTAGGAATAGAATCTTATAAAACTGGTATTATGTTATCACTCCATTGCCTTTTTTTTTAATGGACCAAGTGAAAAAAATTGCCATTCAACTTCATCCATCATGATGACTCAGCTGGAGGACATCTAGTTTGGGAAAGACTTGTTTGATCTTGCTGTCTTTCCAACAATGGGTGTTTAGTAAAGAGAGGTTTTGAAAGCATAGACCTCTCCCTTGGATATTTGAGATATTTAAGGCAAACCAAAAGCCACTTGGTTAGCATGTTGGACAGGGGGGTCAAAAACAATATGTGTAGGTAGATTGAGAATCAAACAGCATGTTATCCTTGGATACCACTGCTTTTCATTCTAAGCTATTTCACTTTTTGTGGCAATCATGATAGAAATGGTGTGGATAACCATATGTGTATGTATTTACCATATTTATGTTCTGCCTAAGGAGAGGTCTATCAAGTTTGTTAACAAGTGAGAAAGCATATATAACAGCATGTACTAAGTTGCTTGGAGGAGGCTGTTTCATCTTATACTTTGGAGCCCTTCCCCACCAGTGTGTTATCTGGAAACTAGGCCCAAGTAGCATTAGCTTTTGGTTCCATGGATGGATAGTCATAATGTGTCTTCAGTGGGATAATTGTTAAGCTACAAAATCTGGATTTTTTATCCTTCCAGGAAGATTGCTGATGAGGTATTTTAGGGGATTAAGTATTCCAGCCTGGCTGATGACCAACACTGAGCTTTTTTTCTCCATTCCGCTTTCCTTGTATGTCTCGTTTCCAGGATCTGATTTATTTTCTTTTAGGTAAGCATTCTGGAAATTCACTAATATAGTGGAAAAAAATGTTCACTTTCAAACACAAATTCTGAGTAGAACATTGCTCAGACCACACAGAGTAAAGAAGTAGGCACCAGATACTAACTTAGTTTATCTTCTATTACACTTAATTCAAATGTTCTCACCAATGAAAAATGAAAAAAATGGGAAAGAACAAATACAAGTTTTATCTGAAAACTACTTTTACAGAAAAATGAAAAGCTCCTGGAAGTTGTGGTTCATAATGGCAAATTCTGAATGGTGCTGCTTTATGTTACGAGATTTTAAGGCTTTTTTCAGTTATGAACCTACAATAAAGATAAGTTGTAATATTTTCCTTGCAGACTCTGTTGGAGCTGCTGGATTTGGTGTTTCTTCAAGGACACCACTGAAGTATTTTTCCTGTGTAGGTGACAATTTGATTCAATTAGCTGATGCACTTGAAGCTTTGGGCAAATTCAGATAACCACCATGGCAATCATCACCTGGTAAGCATGTTACTGAACCACACAGACCAAACTATATGTGATGGTCACCTCTGTGCTTTCCAATAGACAGCTCTTAGTGTTAGCAATTAAGGGGAATATAAATATATGCCTTGTATGGTTTTGTTTCCTTTTTGTTTTGGGTTTTTGTTTAGTTTTTTTCTTCATAATTTTGTTATTGTTTTTTTCTCTTTGTTTTTTGTTTTCAATTTATATATACATTAAATCTGAGGGTTACAAATGAAAGATGACAATGTTGGGACACCCATAAAATTGTGTGAATGAAAAGAGTTTTTATTGTTCAGTAGGCCTTTCTGGCAATACCCTCAGCCCATTTATTGTTTTGCACCCTTCATTTTTCTCCACATTATCAGTTTCTGTGAGCTGGTAATATGAGGTAAATTACCACTTGGTAAATGGTTATAACCATCATGTCACTGTGGCACTGGAATGCTTTGGGATACCTATGTAAATAAAACAGATTCCTGGGTTGTAGCTAATTGAATATAACATTGGGTGTGCTACAAAAGCCTTACCCTGCTCAGTTGACCAAAACATACTTCAGGTAACTTGAAAGTGTTTACTTGGGAGTAAGAGATGTTGAAAATGGTGCAACTTACTTCAGTCTTTGGCTTTTTCAGGTAGGCTGCCTCCTGGCCCCATTTGAAATCTTGGAAGTTGGCTTGATGGACAGTGGTGTTAGACAGTAAAAGGCTGTTCTCGTGTTCCTTATAAAAACAAATAGAATAAATGCTTTTTATTAACAATATTTTGTATCGTTCCTGAAAGCTCCTCTCTTTCTATTCCATTTCATGTTGAATTAGTGTTTTTA